TATAATCCTTGTCACTCACATGTGTCAACATAAGAGAGTAGTGATGTCATTGTTTAATATTTTCTGATCACTATAAACATGTACTCCTCATTCTCTTTTGTTTGTACGAAGAAAGAAAGCAAGAAACAATAATAATTAACATTTCTCTTTTGTTCTAAATACTCTCTTTATAGTTTATCAGTTCATAACAATTTCAGAATTGTGTTCTAGGAAAATAAACTTATTACTACATTACACACAAGATTCTTTACTTTGAAAAGCATAGATGTAATCAAAACGCTGAACCAGATATATGATATTTTTTCTAAGGAAAGTTCTTAATTAATTACACTAAATTTTCTGATAATTTTGTTTAGTTAATCACATTAAAGATAAGTAGGATAAGAGTAGTAAAAACACTTTGCTTATCTTCTTGCGTGTTATGTACTATTTTTAATAACTCTTATTTATATATATATATATATTATCTATTTATATAAAATAATGTTTCTCTCCTTCTGAACCCATCTACGTTAGATGCCACGTAAATAAGTCGAAATATGAGAAGCTGACACGTGTCTAGATAACCAAAATGTCACGTTTTATTTAATCATTGCGTAATGAGATATGAAAGTTAGAAAGCGTATGGACTTGGGCTTCGGTGGTTATTCTGATTTTTCATGTGTCATTCCTAAACCCTTAAAAACTAGCTTCTTTTCTACAGACGATGATGAAAATTAGAATTAGCCGTTCTTTTCCTATTTCTGAAGTGACCGAGCTCTAGCAAAAATGGATATCAAATCGAGTCAGACGAATCATCGTCGAGAACCTTGGTATCAAGCAGTCGTTGTTTCGTATTTGGGCCTTAACCCCCAGACGCCATCAGCTTCAAAAGATAGCTTCAAGAGACATTACGAATCAAGCACGAGGCATCATCAATGATATTTATCCAAAACTGCAAGGCGGTTTTCTTTACCTATAAAAGGGGTAAGTTTCTACCTTTAAACTTCATCTTCTTAGTTTTGTGATTCTCCAAAAGACAAAGAAAATCAACTGCTCTTTTTGATGATTTGAAGGCTGGTTGTCTAGGTGCCTTTACTTTGATTCTGGTAGGCCAGAAACTTAAAACACGTTGGCGAGTTACATATGATGAGCCTAATATTCTTGCAACACACATGAAATATTTTTCTGCAGTAAGTTTGTTCTTGAATGCCACCTCGGAACACATGTATTCTCGACAAAGAAACTGATGCAGGGGCAATTCGGCTATAGGAGTAAGTGTTAGTACATCCATAATAAACTCTCACATAATGCTCTGTAACACTGCATGTTGTTTTCAAAGATATTGGGAACACCCATGTTCCTTCATTGCTGAGAGACTATGCAAAGGTTGAGCCTCTTACTATTGTTGAGTTCAATGAGTTCGGCATCATTTTCAAGCCTCAGGTTTTACAGTCAGTTTTAACTATTTAATATTCTGAAACATCCACTGCAGCATCTTCAAGTGTTGTGCCATCTAGAAACCTCAAGCATCAAAGTCTTCAAAGGTGGTCAAGAAACCACCTACAGAATAGGTAGATGCCGATTGAGTTAAAATCACTATATTAGTGTCTTGATCTTCCTCTTATTCTCTGTTTTATGATTTGTAGGACGACCATAATTTCTTGGAACAAAAATCAATTCTTTTTTTTTTTCAGGACGGCTGTTCTTGAATGCTACGTCAAGGACAATATTTTTTTACAAAGAGACTAATGCAGGGGAGAACATTGATTGTTGGAACATCTTCAAGTGGTCTCTGAAGGTGAGAGTTTCAAGGTTTCTAATACAAATGTTGTAGTATAAATTATTATCGAACCAATTCTAAGGGATTTCAAAGCACTGAGAATACAAGTACTCACTTAATCTAAGTGCGATCGAATAATCAGATGTTTTTAAACTATGACTAATACTAGAATGCAATAATAGAATAAGAAAAGCAATAATTGAAATAAATTTCTTGGATTAAGGGAAAAAAGAACTCGTGGGTATAGGGATTAGACCTTGGGAGATCAAGCTTCGAACTAAGGATGGCAAATAATTAATTAAACTATCAACCTTAAACCTAGACACATCTCTAAGCAGCTCTATATCTATATGAATGCTCATTTACTAACATAACTCAAGCATCAAATGTCTTCGGTTGAATGTTATAGTAGTAATCTTTAAGAACAAGTCTATTAGCCATCTTAACACCTTTAACAACAAATGTCTTTGGTAAAGTATGTTAAAAGCTTAGGAGAGTTGGCTCAGGCATTTCATTGAACACCTTTTGGGTGGGAAATACCTAAAGCTCAACCTTTTGAGAGGCCAACTCAAAAGATGCATTATGAATACTCTACTAGCAAGGAATAAGAGGAATCTACACTAAACATCCTAGTTCTAGCCTAATCACCTTTAATCTCCATAACCCATGAATTCAAAGGTGGATTATTCACTAATCTTCATGAATCCTCTCAAACCCATAGTGGATTCAAGCTTAATCATGTAAAGATAAGTAGATAATGTAATGAAATCAACAAGATTACAAGAACAATGAAAAATGATTCAAAGACATGAACTTTCCAAGACGTTTTTGTGTTTTCTTTTCAAGATGAAAGATAATCAGCCTAGTAGGCTACAAAGTGTACTTAAACTTAGGTTTAGAAAGTGTAAAAACGTCAAGGAAAATGCCAAAAGGTCCTTAGAGAAAAAAAGTTTCGACCAAGTAACTGACGCGCAGAGACCTCGTGGTGTCACTCTAGGAAGTCGCTCTGGTTTGGGAGCGACCTCGGTGTGTCGCTCTGGAAGGTCGCTCCAGGTCATCCTTGTCTCCCGAAATGACAAAAGGCCGAGCGACTTGGGCATCTCGCTCAAGATGTCGCTCTGGTGTTGGAGCGGCCTTGGTGTGTCGCTCCGGCACGTCGCTCCAGGGTCTTCTCATGCAACAAAGTGGCAAAAATCCGAGCGACCATGACGTCTCGCTCTGGACGTCGCTCTAGATTAGGAGCGATGTCATGGGGTTGCTCTGGCATGTCGCTCCCGCTCTACTCGTCCAATGATCACTCTTTACTCCTCTTTTGAGCTTCAAATGCATCCAACACCTCCAAGAATTCTAAGGGTACTCCAATACCTAATAAAGACTCATGTATGCAAAATGCAACCTAGAAATGACTAGATCATAATTTATATGATCAAAATGCATATGGATGAATGAATAAAACAACGGAAATATGAAAAATATCAGTCTCACCTCCAAAAGGTGAACGTAAGTGGTAAGATCGTGGGAAATCAGCAACTGTGAGAACATCGTCAAGTGGTCTCACCTCAAAAAATTCCAGCAATAGCAACTATCAAGGTGACCAAAAAGGTACAAGTGGCTTAAGTGAAGATAATGAATTACCTTGATGCGGTACTTTTGAATAATGCTTATGTATCAATGTAGTTTTCGTTCTTTTTTTTTAACCTTTGAGAACTCTATTGGGTTTTGATATGTTTTTGAAACTATCTATAAAATGCTTATTTATCAAATTTATCACATCCCACTAAATCAATAAGATTGGGTTCACATGCTAGCACATATTTTCATAATAAATTTTAAAATTATACATCTAAGTAAGGATTAAAACAATGTAATTCATGTATGCTCTCTTCGGTGTTCAATGTAGTAAAATGTGCTTATAAATTCAGGAGCATTGACAGACTTAACAATAAATACGCTTTGAACATGATAACACCCTCTCTACGCACATTTCAAAAGTGTTGAAAATTTATAACAGAGTTGTTATCAGTGGCGGATCTACTTGTTTAGTAGGGGTGTCAGTTGACACACATTAAAAATATATATGTGGTTTTTTCAGCTAGTACAAGTGAAATTCAACAGCTATGGTGGTGATTTCACTGATGATAACACCCCTAAAACCAGGGTTCAAAGCTCCTTGACATCTTATTTTTACTTATTTTTAATTTTGACTTAAAATTTCATTAATTTTGACACCCCTAAATCTGGATCCTAGATCCGTCACTGGTTGTTGTTATGCTTTCGTAAATGATCATGCAGTATTACTTTCAAATATTTGTTATGCTTTCGTAATGTTGGTGGCCGAGTGGCATTCGTACTCTACAGGAGCAGATCTATGATTAAATTCAGATGGAGACACATCCTATTTTTACATTACATCTAACTCTCTAAATGGGGATACTTTTTAAACCTTATACATATTACTATGGGAAAGTAAAATTTAGTCGGGGTCACGTGACTCCGTTACGGTGGCTGTACATCCGCCCCTGGTACTCTATCCACAATATATATTAAAATATAAGTGGTACAGATAAATCAAAATATATGTAGGACAGGTTGAAGAAATAAATTCAAAAGTAAATATTCTAAAACCCTTAAAAATTACGAAATTATTGGTTCTAAAACCAAAGTAAAATTTAATTAGTGTACTTTTAGCAATTATTTTAATTTATTATTTATTCATTTAGCTCACTATGTTATACATAGGTTTTAATAATAAAAATAGCAAGGTTTTTTGAAACACATAAAAAGTAAGTTTTTATTATTAAAAGTTTAGTTAGACAAAACAATGAAATAATTTAAAAATTGCCTAACGACATATATTTTTATAATACATATCTATATATACATATATAAAAATATAAATACCTAACATATAATAAAAATTATAGGAAAATTTCGGGTGTGATCCGAGCCGACCCTAGTATATGTATATATATATATATGTTAGTTTTGAAACTGTATTTAAATATGTAACAAATAGTTTTGATTTTTTTCTCTATGAAGAAAGATAATGTCATAAATACCTAATCTAAGAAACGATTACACCTCTTTCTTATATTAAAATAGTTACTTACCTCTTTTATGTATATACAACAAATACAATTCACTTTTCACAAATGTGACCCTCTGTGAGTTATTACCTTAAATCGCTTAAAATTTACCAGAAACAAATATTTTATGTAGGCCCTTTTATATAACACTATTCACTTTCGCCCATGTGAGTCTTCTCTCTCTTGCTATTGTGTAGATTTGTTGTTAATTTGAACTCCCCTACTCACTCTCTTTAGGTTATTACCATTACACTAAATCTTTAAAACCAAACAGATTTCAAGAAACACAAAAAAAGAAAAAGATGCCTCTAAGCAACAACGTAATAGGTTGCATAAACTTCATCGCCGTCCTCCTCTCACTTCCGGTCATCGGCGCCGGAATCTGGCTCGCTACCGGAACAGTGAACTCATGCGTCAAGCTCCTTCAATGGCCAGTTATAATCCTCGGAATCTTGATCCTTCTAGTGGGTCTCGCTGGTTTCATAGGAGGGTTTTGGAGAATCACTTGGCTTCTCGTTGTTTACTTAATTGCAATGCTTATTCTCATCGTACTTTTAGGTGTTCTGGTCGGATTTATTTACATGGTTACCATTAAAGGATCTGGTCATCCAGAACCAAGCAGAGCTTATCTTGAGTATAGTCTTCAAGACTTCTCTGGTTACTTGCGTCGAAGAGTTCAGAGATCTTACAAATGGGATAGGATTCGTACTTGTTTAAGTACTACTACCATTTGTTCCGAACTAAACCAGAGATTCACTTTGGCTCTAGATTTCTTCAATGCTCATCTTAGTCCCATTCAAGTAAGTATCTTTCCCCACTTTTTATTTAAATTTTCTAATTTTATTTTGCTATGTAAATCACTAGAAAAATGCAAATAATTCATGGTCTTGTGACTTATTTTTCCCACTTTTTTTTGTTTAAATTTTTTCCCACTTCTTACTTGGTTCTTTCCGCAATCTATGCATTTGGATTTATTTTTTATAATGTTTTTCCTCGTTCCTTGTTATTTAATTAGTTATTTTAACTTCATTTTTGTTTTTTTGCCTCACTTTGTCAACTCGTTAACCGAGGAAAACTAGGGTGTAATTAGAGTCGAAAGAAAACTAGGGGTGAAAATCCGAATAGAGAAAATTTATAGAATTGGTGCTTTCCTTGTTAGATTTGTGACCAAAATAATTGAAAAATATATCATGTTCTTTTTTAAAAAGCTGCAGTTCACATGAAAATATCAAATGTCTCTTTAAAAGAAAAGGAAAGAGATTAGGGTGTAATCTAAAATTGAGCGGCCAGAAAAGAACAGGTGGGTGTACTATTAAATTTACAAATAGATATGATTCATAGGCATGTCTGAATAAAACCTGAAAAAGATTTAACTTTTGACTAAACTAAAATATACCCCCCAACTTTTCTAGATTCTTCCACTACGTGCACTAAATCAGTCACACGGAACAACCTTTTTACCACGCTATATATATTAATTTTTATTTTAATCTAATCCCGTTTCTTTTTTTTTGTACAGTCTGGTTGCTGCAAGCCCCCAACAAAATGTGGCTTCACGTTCGTGAACCCTACGTACTGGATAAGTCCCATAGATATGTCTGCAGACATGGATTGTCTACAGTGGAGCAATGACCAAAACACTTTGTGTTACAGTTGTGATTCTTGCAAAGCCGGTTTGCTCGCAAACCTCAAGGTAGATTGGTTAAAAGCGGATGTTTTTCTCCTTTTGGCGCTTATCGGTTTAATAATCGTTTATATAATCGGCTGCTGCGCGTTCCGAAACGCTGAAACTGAGGATATTTTCAGACAGTATAAGCAGGGTTATACTTGATCAGGACAGGATTAGAAAGTTTATAAAATTATTGGATTTTCCTGTATTTTAAAATGAACTGCCAGAACATTTGCTTATAACTGGAAGAATGTTTTGTGTATCTCTTTGGTTTGATGTTTGCAAGACTATGCATTTGTTAATCAGTATTGTATCATATATTATAAAATGGGAATTGTGAGAGAGCATAAGCTATGCGTTGATCAATTTCGTTTTTCTCATACTCCTTATCTCTCCACGAACAATTTGGACATGTCCCCTCAAGAATGTTGACCATGAGTATGGTCAGTATTCTTGCAACCATGAAGATTGTTCATCCCTTGCGTTACCCCTTTATTAGAACTCAGCTTCAAAGAGAAGAACGCTTGAAAGGCTTGCAAGAAACGTTGTTGGCTATCTCATCTACTGTGAATTCAATTTCGGTTTGTGTTATCGCTACATTTCCTAATGAGGTATCACGATGAGCATATACTATTTTCCATTGGTACGGAGAAACTGCAGATGTTAAGTATTGGTGGCATGTGACAAATAACTAGATTCAACAAAACAGGTTCTAGACCTGCAACAAAAGTTGTGTCACTATCCACCTAGATTGCAAATTTGGGTCCTCCATTTGAAACTCGGTTTCATCATGTATGACAAGGTGAAGGTTCTTCACAACAATAGGCCTGTCTCAGGGTTCAGGTTTGCATAAACATTTCACGTAATATCTTCTTGTTATATAATTTATCAAAACCAAATTTACACATAAGGGACTTTGTCAAAAAACAACTACTTAAAAGCCCCAAGTATCTTGTCTTATTACCACTTTTAACCCCCTAAACCCCCACATAGTATCACTCCCTGTTTAGCCACATTTGCATCATACTAAAAATATACAAGAAGATATCATATATATACACTTACTAGTTATTAGACTACTTAATAAGCATAAACCCAAGGCCCTTCTTCGGTGGAAGAGAAAGTTAAAAACCTTTTTATTTCTGTGTCTTTGTATACTTTGCGGTCTGATCTCTCATTGCAGTGGAGACTGGAAAGGGATTCCCTTTCTTTGTCTTTTCCGCAAAGAAGTAGAAGTAGTAAGCTGAGGTGTTGATGGAGATAAACTCTGTGGATTTGGAATGTTATCCTCTACTCCTGAACTGATGCTGCTTGAATCCTCTGACCCCATTGGTATATGCTTCACTTTCTTCTCAAAGCTCCTAGTAGTTCCTGCTACCTTTTGATTTCAATTGCCAAGAACATAGAGAAAACAAGTTTAATCAGAAGAAAGACTAAAGATACAAATGTGCAAGAAAAATAAAAAAGACACAAATCAAAACAGAACAAAAGAGAGATTGGGTAATGAATGTACCTTGCAGCCAAGAGAGCAGAAGCGGAAGCAATCATCAACAAGGCCACGATAACAGACTTGGCAGGTATTAGTAACTCCTTTACCGGGCTTAGGCTGAGGCCTTTCATTCAAAAACACAACCTTTGCGCTGTTGATCACATACGTCTGAATGCTGAAGATATCTAAATACTTCTGAATCTCATTGACTCTTATCACATCATGATAAGATGATCTCCTTATCTGCAAATCAACAATCATAACATTTTCAAAACCAAATTTCACCAAAACACAGTCTAAAAAGTTTAGGATCTTGAAATGCAAAAAACAAACCTGAATGGTACGATGATCCTTGTGATGAGCAAGACAGAGAGAGCAAAGAGAGCCATTGGTACAGTCCAAGCAATACATTTTGCATTCGCTTTTGGGTGAGTGAACGTCACATTGAACAAAGAAGTGTTCTTTCAGTAGAGGCTTTAGCCACTGAGGCCATTGATGATTCTCTTCTTCATCAGCTCCCTGCAAACAACATCACTCATTAGCCAAAGAACTTTAAAAAAAAAAACAGTTAGCTTTAATCTACCAGAAACACCATTGACTTCTCTATATCAAAAGTCTTCTCCTTTATAGACTTGGTTTCTCAATTTTAAAATTTATCTAAATGTTTAATATAAATTATATTGCAACCAAAAGATAAAAAGATTTATCATTAAACCCAGATTATACCAAAAATTCAGAATCGATAATGAGTTTGGTAGAAATAATAAGAACATTGCGAGGAGACATTATATTACAGAGAATTAATAATGTGAAACAGAACAGTCAATGTAATAAACAAGAGAAAGAGAGGAGTTTTGTCAGAAGTACCATGATTCTTCTGTTCTTAGGTTTGATTACTCGATGTGGGTTCTCGTGGTCTTCAATCGCCATTGTCTGAATGCAGTAAAAGACCGAGCTTTTCTGAGTCAGCTCCAAAGCGTTTTAGAGAGATATTAAAAGAGAAAGGGTTTAAGAAAGGGAGAGGGAGAGAGAGAGAAGAGAGAGAGATGGGTTTCTTGCGGAGTGGGTTTAGAGAGAAGAAGAAGCGAATGCAAAGAGAAAGAGTCGTTCTTATCCTCCCAATGTCGACTAACCGAACCTAAAACTCGAACCTAAAAATGGTTTGTGTGAAAACCGAACCTAGAGTCCGAGCCTAAAGAAGCGTTGGGTTCAAGGAACCATCCTTCCTTGGAATTTTCTGTTTTGATTATTCTTTTTGTATTTTTAAAAATATGTTTCTGTCCTTCTTTGGTCTTATCTCTAATAATTATATATACTGTTTTCTCCTCCAAATATATTAATGAATCTCGTCAAGTTTTATTCCTTTTTTTGTTTTTTTCCCCCATAAAAATATATAAACTGTTATAAAGTCATCAAATTTATTGGTTGTTAGAGTTTTATAACTATTCCAATGTTTTTTTTCTTCTAAAAAGTTGATACAAGTATCGCTTCATTATTGCAATTTGACATTTCATATCTTATCCTTAATTCCATAACATGCTTTTTTGTTTCTTCATCAGGTGCTTGTCTAATTTTAAGAACCTATTCCAAATCATAACATAAATATCACGTGTATATGATATTATCTATAGCTCAGACTTTTTGGTTTCAATCAGATATTTAAATTTCATTCATGACATTTCATCAAATTTAGATATTTTATATTTTGAAACCAATTTATTTAAAATTTGAATGCATGTGTTAAAACACTTAGCATTGCAAAAACTACATTCTAGTGTTTTGTGGCCATTCAGAAAAAATATGTTCATCGAAAAGTATTTTCATTATTTTATCCCTTTAGTATTTCAAAAATTACACTATTCATTAGTTATCACCAACCTTTATTTTCTATCGATTTAACAATGCAATATGCTACAAAAATTCGATATTTGAACGTTATTTAGTTATTACAGCTTACTAGAACCAGTATATTATAAACTTACGGCTACAAAACATAATCATTTTATAGTTTAAAATTTTATTGAATTTAATTGGTAGTTAGATTTTTCTTGTAAAAACTGATAATTTAAAGAATGATTCTTTAATCTTTTTAGCTCTTTAATTTTTAATGGAAAGAAAAATTATATGTGGGTATTAATATCCCACATCGGTTGGGATGATGGTCCTTGGGCAATATATAAGTGTATGGGCAATCCTCCACTCTTGAGCTAGCTTTTGGATGTGAGTTAGGCCCATCACTAATATGGTATCAGAGCCCATGGTTTGGCCTAGCATTATGATTTCCCATATAAACAGTTTCTACCTATGTAGACTGTAAAAGTGGCTCATATGCTGTGGTATTTCCGAGATGTTGGGCTTGGGCTGTTTCCCTATGGACCGTTTTCCAGAGGGGCTATTAATATCCCACATCGGTTGGGATGATGGTCCTTGGGCAATATATAAGTGTATGGGCAATCCTCCACTCTTGAGCTAGCTTTTGGATGTGAGTTAGGCCCATCACTAATAGTGGATGAATCAGATTCTACCGGTTTAGTTAACGTCTCAGAGCTCAAACTATTGATGATACTGAGTATTTACCAATATGAATACAGTTAATACTATATCATTATCAAATTTCACATTTTTGATTTGATCTTCTTCTTTTTCATTTGTCTTAAATTACTTTCTTTTGGAAACCATCATTTATTTACGTACGGGGATGTATATGTATACAGTTGATAATTGAATATATTTATATGTTTTAATAAATTTAAATAAATGATAAATTCGATATTTTAAAACTTAAGATTTTTCATATTGCTAATTATATAGAATTTATCTTATATATTCTTTTTAACTGAAAAAACACAGTCTTATTCTTAACACAATCTTATACTCCCTCTGTTTCATTATAAGTGTCACTCTACAGCTGTGCACACGGATTAAGGAAACAATTAATTTTACATATTTTCTATATAAAAAAACACAGTTACCCGTACACCTAACCATATTTTAACCAATAGAAAAACAAATTACATAATAAAATTAATAAATGTTGCATTGAAAACCGAAAACGACACTTATTTTGTAACGCAAAAAAATCTCTACAACGATACTTAATATGAAACGGAGGGAGTATATTCTTAACACAATCTTATTATAAGAACATCAATTAACCAGTAACATACCCGCCCACATAATGTTGATAGTAATGCAAATCTATCTTTAAAAAAAAAAAAGAAGATAAATTCCTGTTACATCATGAGCCATTTATGTTTCTATATACACTGCTTATTTTAATTTTAATGATATGGTTACTCAAAGTATGAGTTGGAAAGAGAGTGAATTGTACTTTATAATTATTTGACCATTAGTTGATATATACACAACAGAAACAGTAGTAATAATGAAGTAAAAAGATGGTGATGTAAATAAGGAACAAATGTTGTATGCATTATGCATAGTAGCGATACAAAGAGAGATAAGGTTCTTAATTTGGAGAATTAACCTAATCCATATATTACTTTAATGAAACTAAGAGGAGGTTAATGCGCAAATTTAGGTTGAGTGGTGAGTACACAATATGCTTTTGTGTTTTAGTGTTTGAGTTTGGTTGATGTCTCAATTTGATTAATTAATGAAGAAGAAGATAAATTACAAAGTCAATACTAACTATTCCAACATGCATCACCTGAAAGGGAAGTTCGATTTAAACAAATACCGCCCTTGATGGAACAATTGCCTTTTATAAAAAAATATATTTATAGGTGGACAATTTAACCGAGACAAATCAAAACAAACCAAAATGAAATTATTGATTAAGAAAATAAATTTATACTGTTTCGAGGTTCCTTGTTATTTGGTTTATCCTTAGAGAAACAAAAACAATAGGAGACTGAAACCAAGTCTCAGCCCTAGAGGTTTTTAATCAGTGATGAGCTTCAGAAACCTAAGAAGAACTAAAACATATTAAACCGAAATACACAATTTTCGTTTTTAAAAGGGAACAAACAATTTGAACTATATTCCACCAAATCCAGAGTGATTAGGATATTTGGCAGTAGGTATACATTCAGGTTCTTTGTTAAATGATTGATAATTAAATACCAAGTTAATTGCCTATTTATAAATCATCCTCCATGAAGCATGCACACTTGTAAATGTAGTATTACATTTTTATCCCCTTCCGGAAACGTTCTTGTATGAATCACACCATAAACTATACCATATCAGTATGTTTTATACATTTAAAAGGCCATAAACATAAAACATATGAAGTCATGCATAATTTATGTCGACATACGCATCATCAAAAAGGTGAAAACAAGACGAGACGCTATCATACTAAAGGAAACATATAGTTTATGAGGATTATTTTATGATAACAACAGCCTATGTTCATTTTTCATGACATTTTTTATACTTAGGTGATTATCACTAAAATTTTAGAGTACGGCTCGGAATTTAGAGAAGAGAAAAAAAAAATTCATTTTATCATGTGATGTTTATAATATTTAAAAGATTTTGAGTCGCTTTTTTTTAAAATACGCAGAAATATTTTTAATAAAATGTAATCTATGAAATCAACTTTTATTTTTTTAGTGTATTTGACAACTATATTATTTTTTATAGTAATGTTAAATATAAAAATATATAAAATGTTATTTTTTTTTTCAATTGTTTCGACCCGTTTTGTTATAAATTTTTAATAAAATCTATGTAATTTATTTGATTAATTGTGTGATATATATATTTGATACAATTTTTAATTATACAGATTATTTGATGTCAATTTATTGACTCTAGTATTTTACTTATATGCAATATATAGTTTAATTGGAAAGTTTTATTAAATTTAAATGAATTTAATTCTTTATTTATGATATAGAGATAAAATAATATATTAATTAAATTTCTTTCATATTAAATAAAACTATTTTCAAGTATCTAACCGTACAAAAAATAAGTTTTCTTTTTTTTTGGAATTTTTCTATAAACTAGTTGAATGTTTTAGTTAATATTTTCATTTATTAAATAATTAAACGATTAATAAAAATATTAAAAACGAGACATGTTATATTGTTTGGACATAATATTAACTATTGTGTTGTTTAAAAACATATTTAGTAGTATGTTTTCCATAATTAACAAATAGAATTGAAGGTGTACTAAATTTAAAAAATACAAAATGATAGTTTATTTCAAGAGAAATTTTTTGATTTAATAAGATAGATCATATAAAATATTCATATGGAAAAATGTCAAAAAAAAATTAGAAACAGATGAATGATATTTCAATATTTTTTCTAGATATTTTATTTTCTTATAAGAATCTCTTTTTGTATCCTTCTATAAAGGTTAACAAAAATATCATAGAAATTGCTGGCCCTTGAGAAAAAAAAATCTGGATGCCGTACATAGGATACAAAATTCATAAATATTAATGAAATTTGAAATAAAGTTGAAGAAATGGGACACGGCACGCCATATCTGACCCATGAATATCCATACTTCACCACTAGTCTCCCTATTGTATTATTTTCCCCTTTCTTATGGTTTAAGGGACGACCCGAAATTATCGGTTTCGAAAAGAAGTATTTAGTATGATATACAATCAGCCAATGTAAATAGTAAACCGAATCAAATTAATGAAGATTGTTATTCAGATTTAGCGAGACTATTATGTGAGATTCACTGGTTCGCCGGCCTCTTGTTATGGTAGGCAGCAAACCGGCATTGTTGTAGCGATTTTGCAGTTTTTGACGCGTTGACTGTTGACTCACTATTACATTCTCAACTTCTGAAGTCTTCTTGTACGGATATTGCATCCTTTTTCACGGCATTTTCTGTGTACAAAAAAAATTGATTTTCTTTTTCTAGAATTGTTTTGTAAGTTGGTACTTGGTAAGTTACTTTATGAAAATGTTACGACATGCTTTCAAAGCTGTCTAAATTACTCCTAAGAGCATCTTCAATGATACTTTATTTTGAGGGAAAATATAAAAAATGAGGGAAATAC